TTAGTCACTTGTGATGCATTTTTGCTTCAGATACACGATTTTGATGCTAAAAATAACATCAATCTGATATTCTGCAAAAAAAAAGAAGAAAGAATGGTGACAAGCATTGACAATAATTTTAAAGTAACTTATTTTTTAGGTTAAATTTTCATTTTTTTTTCAAATTCATGAACATGGAGTTGGAAATTATCTACTTGTAAAATTAAAAAATCCATTCACAAGATTGATTTTTGTTTGTTATGAGGATGGCTCCACCCATTCATCACCTGTTTTGAACTAGCTCGAGCGATTCCAAGACGACTTATCAATTTTTAAAGGGCGAGGTTTGTATAAGGTGCCTCCTCTTCTACTATTAAGGCACACCACTAAAATTTGGTTTGAGGTGTAGTTCTAATGTCAGAAACCTTATGTTGACTTGAATATCTATTTTTATCCCAAGTTATAAGTTTTGAATTTTAAAAATGGTATACATCGGGCAGATTTATAATTATTTGAAAATCTAGAAAAATAAACTATCCAGATATCTTGCTACAAGATGCATTATTTTAGGACTTGAAATTTTTTTTCTTCATATTGATACATCTCGAGGTCGAGATGATCAATTGAGGAGTTCTCCAATGTCGGAATGCTCCATTCTATAGGATTTTTGAGGTGCAACTTCTTTCAATCGTATTTGCAACCTTATACAAACTTTCTTTATTTTTAAAACATGATTATAACTATAAGTAGAGGATTATTGACTATGATACGGGCTGCAAACTTACGGCCGGCTGATTCGGGGGGAGAAACGATTCACATCAATGCTGGATGCTAAAGAATGATATCAATGGATAACATTCTTAAAAACAAAATAACTGGCATCTTTTCCTCAAAATATTTAAATGCGCATGACAACAATGGTACGCATAATGCACAAAAATTGCAGGTAATCTACAGTTACCATAAACAATACATAAACACTTATAGTAAACTACTCATAACTATTATAACATGTGAGATGTGACTACAAATTTAGCTAAAAAAATAAAAGAAATTGCATGTGACTATACATATGAGAATTATAGTATAATGTGTCACACTTCTACCTTTCGTGTGGAGTCGTGGGAGGTCGAAGGCGACACCGGGAGTAG